GGGTGGGGAAGAAGGCACAGATTAAAATTACTGAAGCTAATGGTAACAATGAAGGCTATTCAGGGAATAAAATGTTGGGACAGAAGCCATAGCAACCATCCCAGAGAGGATGAGCAGTTAATACAAAAGGCTAGCTATGCACACCAATGATTTGAGGTTCCCACCGAATAATTACAATCGATTAGAAGAAGATTGACAGTGAGGATTGAACTGGAGAAGTAGTTTGAATTGAGAAAGGTTAAGGTGGTGATGGTGGTATGTGGGGTAAGCAGTGACCTTTCTATCTTTTCACATTTCATTTTTTTTCTCTCTCTCTCTCTCTTTTTTTTCTCAGACAAATAGCAAAGGGAGGAAACACGTAAATGCTTTCTCATACATGCAGACTCATATGTTGATAGCGAGATTTTTGTTCCCCATAAGCTTTCTTTCTTTGGGAAAATTATTTATGGGTAATTGTATTGAGATGGATTTTCTGTTAAAATTCCTAATGTATCATTTCTGTACAATTCCTGCCCCCTTATTCAAAACTTTTTCATGTATATGACCTCACAGATGTCAACTGGCCTCTTGAAGCTTTACATCTGTAGAGGCATTAGAGAGAAGATGGACCACTAACTAGGACACATGGCTATAGCTGGGTGTTTTTTTCCTAGGCCATCTTAGTCTGGAAGCTTAAGTGAAACCCACTATTCTAAGAGCTATGATCATTCTCTATATTAAAATCTTTTCAAATGTCCTTGTTGCTTACAAGATATACTCCTTGTTTCCTAACAGTTTTGCTTCCTGACAGTCTGTTTTTGTCCTGAATTTTCAGCGTACTGTCCCACTCTAACCCTGATGTACTTACTCTAACCACATGGAACCACCTAATTTTCCTAGGTCTGGGTCATACTTTCAAGCCCCTGAGTCTTTGCATATACTATCTTCTCTACTTGGAGTGTCCTTTCTATCCTTCTCTGGGGAATGCTCATCCATCCTGTGCAGTTAACACAGTGTCTAGCAAGATGACTGGCACATGGAAGATACTTGGTAAATATGGAATGAACTCAAATTTCACTCTCTCTGTTGAACTCCAGTTCCCCGGTGGTTGGGCAGTGCATCTCTCATGCTCATAGCACATTGTGCATACTTCTACTAAAGCCTCATCACATACTGTGACTATGAACCCCTCCAGGACAGGGATGGTGCCTTATGCCTCTTAGGACTGCCAAGCCCTGTACCATGCTGGGACATAAAGTGGACCCATGTGACTAAATGGTCACAACTTTTTCAAGATGGCTTCTGGTGTTTTTTGTTCATTTTCTGCTTTTACTTCTATTTGCATTCATTTTATGCTGAATTTACTCCCAAGCCATAAGGTTTTGTTTCTTCAGTTTCTTCTGGGATATTTTTTTCTTCTGGTTTAGGAACAATTTTTTTTTTTTTTTCCAGTAAGGATCATCTCACTATGTCAGAAGGAGCTCATGTATGGGTTAATATGGTCATAAACTCTACATGTATGGTCATACCTTTTGGAGACTTTGTTCACTTGGATGTACTCAATGACCAGAGAAGCTATATCTAAACCCTTAAGTTCAGCATTACTCTCTGCATTTTCAAGCATATGCATAAAAAATTCAATGCTCTTTTTGAGCCATTAATCCTGTGTCAGCCTCACTGTTTGGCCTAGACACACCTACCAACTCCATAATTGAAAGAAGAAATGGTACAGATTGCTTCTCTAAGTGACATCTTTCAGATACTTGGTGGCTTTTTGAATAGACATAACCTTAATGGTCTAGGCAGTTTCTTGGGTGTTCTTAAAGTGAACACGAAAATTTAAACCTCTTAATTTGCATATTTTGTGTTTTTTTCTGGATCTTCTTGTGTGTTTTTTGATTCCTGCTCTTATTATGGGAATGGTATGCATCATTTGTTATCACCAAAACATACAGAATTTGATGCTAGTCTCAAATGGGCCCCGCCTCTTCTCCAGAGCTGAGTGCTTTCCAGTGCACCAGATCTGTAGTGTAAAGATAGGGGGTTGAACCATCCTCTATCACTTAATAGCTGTGCAAACCTACAAATATTTTTAACCAGTCATTGAGCCTCTGTTTCACTTGATCTTAGCCAAAAGGCCAAGAAGTGATGAGCCTCTGTTTCTTCTTCTGTAAAATAGGAATAATAACATCTGTCTTTCCTATGTCTTAGGCTTGTGATGAAGCTCAAATGACATTATATATGTGAAAGTACTTTGTAACTTCTAAAGGTCACAAAACTTTCTAAATCTCTCCTGATTCAAATACAGCGAAACAAAGCCCCTCTCTCGATCTTGCTTGGTCATCTCTATTTTTTCCCCACAAATTTCTTGAAAGTCAGTTTCATGGACTGCATTCCCTCTCTGTGACCCCAGGCATCATTTTTTCTGCTCTGCCTTACCACTGATAGCTCACTCACCACAATCATCAATATTTCCTCATGGCCAAAACCAGTGGACATTTTTCTGTCATTTCCTCATTTGATCTCTTTGCAGTACTTGGCTGCCTTCTAAATTTGTTGTTTCCTTGGTATTTATTTTAACATCCTCTATTGATTCTCTTTCTCTCCCCTGACTACTTCTCATAAGCCCCTTCAGTGGTGTCTCTCTGTCACCACCTTCCAAAATTCCATCCTTGGTCTTCTTCTCTTCTATTTTTGTACATTTGTCCCCTGAGTAACTCATTTCCCCTCCCCCCATGACTTCCACAACTATAGCTTCCAGCGGTTTCCAGCGGCTTCCACTTCTACACTTTAGACCAGATCTCCCTTCTAAGTTCCACATTTTCAGTTGCTAATTGGACATTTGATCATGGATGTTGCAAAAAGAGTTCAAATAATACATCAAAGCAAAACCTCAATTTATAATCCCCCACCTCTACCAAAAATGTCTCCTCTTCCTGACCTCCTTCAGTCTGATACGATAGCACCATCCACTCAGGCCCTTGAGCCAGAATCATAAGAATCATTCCTGATTATTTCCTCTCCATTGGCCCTCATGATCCAGTGTTATAAAGGCGTAGCAATGCTTCCCCCTCCTTATGTCTGCTCTCTGGCGCTTTTCATCCTCTCTGCCTCATTCTTACAGCCCCCCAATGGAAGAGTTTCCCTGACTCCAGTCTCCCTCTTCTGAGACATTCTCTGCAGTGGGGTCAGAGTGAGCTTCCTGAAATAGGGATCTGATCTGATCTCTGCCCTGCATAAAACCCCACAATAATCCTCATTGCCTACTGCGTGAAACTCAAAATTCTTAGGACAGTATTACAGATTGAATACACCCCCCTCCCCCGCCAAATATGTGTTGGAATCCTAACCCCTATATCTGTGAATGTAATCCATTTGGGAATAGAATTTACTTGTTATGTTAATGAGGCCATAGCAGCATAGGGTGTGTCTTCAATCTAATCATTCTTGAGATATAAAAAGAGCAGATTAGGCACCAAATCAAGCAAGCACAAGTAGGAGCAAAGGTAGATGCCACCTGGAAAGCACCAAGGAACTGAGGAGCGCTGGGTCTGTAAAAGCAGAGGCAACAATTTTCCCCCAGAGCGGACAGAGAGAGAGCCTTCCGCTAGAGCCAGGGCCTTGAATTCAGAATCCTAGCCTCCTAAACTGTGAAAAAACAAAACAAAAAAAAATGTTCATTAAAGCCCCCACTAGAGATATTTCTGTTCCAGCAGCAGAAAGATATTAAGACAGAAGTCATGTAAGGCTCACTCACCGCGATCTGGTCTCTGCCTACTACTGCATTGGTAACTCCTCATGCTACTCTCCCTGTAACACACATTCTAGTCATACAAAATCACTTCCATCTCCAGAAAGTGCCATTCTCCTTCACGTGCTGCTCACAAAGGCAGCCTAGTGCAATCTGGTTACCTTTGCAGACATGATTCAATATATCACCTCATCTGGAAAGCTTTCCCTAAACCCAGCTTCCCAGCAGACAGAAGCAAATATCCCCAACTCTGCATTCCACAAACTCCTTGAAACTATCTTCGATTAGCCTCCCCTTCCTACTGTTCTCTAATTGTTATTGTTGTTGTTGTTATGTGCAGACCTGCTCATAGCGACCCCCCCTTGGGTTTCCGAGGCAAGGTGGGTATCACTACAGAAGTAGATTGCCCAACCTTCCATCTGAGGAGTGACTAGTGAGTTTGAATCGCCAGCCTTCTGGTTAGCAGTCAAGTGCCTTAGGCACTACCCTTGTATTTAAATATCTATACTAGACAGTAGGAGCTCTGGTAGCATAGTGCCTAGGGCACTTGACTGCTAACCAGAAGGCTGGCGGTTCAAACCCACCAGCCACTCCTTGGAAGGAAGGTTGGGCAATCCTACTTGCATAGTGATACTGCCTCGGAAACCCAAGGAGGGGTCGCTATGAGTCGGGGCCTACTCGACGGCAAATAACAACAACAACAACAACATACTAGACAGTGAGCTTCTTGTGAGTAGGGTTGTTGTTAAGTGCCCTCGAGTCGACCTGACTCATAGTGACTCCTCCTTGTGTTTCGGAGGCAGTATCACTAGGGAAGTAGATTGCCCAACCTTCCTTCTGAGGAGCGGCTGGTGGGTTTGAACCGCCAGCCTTCTGGTTAGCAGTCAAATGTCTTAGGCACTATGCTACCAGAGTAGGGACCAGGTCTTATCTCTCTGTGTTCAACTTCTTACAGAGTTCCAGGTACATAGTAGGCAATCATTAAATGCTTGTTGAATGAATAAATGAAGGATACAAAACATGACTTGTACTACATTCTTATTCCTTTACCACTCTTTGTGCACCTTTTAGAAATTTATTTTTGTTGTTATATTCTGATTTCCACAGATTTAGAAAAGATTCTAGCAAGTACCGTAATTCATTTAGAGGTCACTTTATGTTCAGATAGTAGGTTTGGCTTTCTTTGGGAAGTTTCATGCTTACAAAGGTAAGTATATGGTCTGTATTATGCCTCTGTGGGTTTGCAACAGACCCCAAGGCCCTTACTTACCTGTCACTTCTGGCCTTGGTGCTTTCCAGTTGTTGAGTAAGGAGCTTGGCAATGGCGGTGAAACTGTTGCTCATGCGGAAGATATCTCTGCTCTGAGGGCCCAGGATGGAGGAGAAGGTGTCAGTGATGCTCTTAATCTCCAACAGGAGGATGTGGTGAAACGAGTGCTCCATATTAGCCAGCTGGCTCACCAGGTATGGGAGGCAGCTCCTGGCTTTCTCCTGCCAAAAACAATGAAGAAAAACAGCCTATATTTCAAAAGAAAGCAAAGTTTCTCATCTGCTTATGACAATTCTATACAGAGCTTGCTTAGGGAGGTAGCTGAAGCTAAATAATAAGCTTTGTTCATTGTTCCACTGAATTTGCGTCTTTGAGATCTAAATTTTTTTTTCCCCTGGTTTTTAAGACAAACTTTATTTTTTTAAATAAAATACTCCTCCTGTTACTAATTTCTTAAAGACATGTGAAGATTCTCTTTAGTCTACCTTGCCAGATCAAAGCCTCATGACCATCATTAGTGAACTGAACCCATATACCTGCATATCCACCTCACCCAACTTGGTGTCTTCCTAGCACCAGTCTGATGGCTGATTGATTGCCTGTGTGACTCATGAACTCTACCTCCAAGCTGCAGACTTAGTCAGTAATCTTAAAGAGGACATTGAGCTTGGCCCCCTCAATGGATCTGTTAGATGATGGTCACATATCACTTTGGTGTACAAGGTATACCTTCTCTTCACATGGTATTCTCACTCATTTGTTTCTTTCAACAGATTACAGTTTTTATGTGCCTGGTCTTGATACTAGATTATATGATCTAGCTTTAACAAAACTGACTCTTACAAATGGCAAATGACTTAAATAACAAGAACATGGCTTAGCTGGCACATTCCCCACACTTATTAAAATTCCCATAAACCATATTATAAGGTAAAACGGTCTAATCCACTATGACCAGAAGCTAGCCAAAAAAAATTAAAAATTATAAAGAAGATTATTTGAAACATACATTTATATTCAATGTAAATGATGATAAGCTATTACTAAATAAAATAAAAACAAGTTAAAATAAGGCTTATTTCATCTTTAACTCCTCTTTTAAAATGCACTATTTTTGTGCATTTATAACTTTTCATATTAGTACAGCAGAATATAATATTATTGCATTAGAACATATGTATAATTATAAATAAATATATATTGGAGGTGGAGGCTCAAAATTCTTTTAACTGATAAATTTGTTGTTGTTATCTGCTGTTGAGTCATTTCTGACTTATAGTGACCCCATGTAAAAAAATAAACTGTCCAACAGGGTTTCCTAGGCTGGAATTTTTACAGCGGCACATCACAGGTCTTCTCTCTGCAGAGCACTGGGTAGATGTGAACTACCAACCTTTCTAGAAGCCAAGCAATTAATCTTTTGCACCACCAGGTTTCCCTAACTGAGAAGCGTACAGGTCTAAGTTTCCCTTTCAGTTGTTGTTGTTGTTACCTGCCATTGAGTCAGTTCCCATTCCTAGTGACCCTAAGCACAACAGAATGAAATACTGCCCTGTCCTTGCCATCTTCCCAATTGTTGCTATGCTTGAGCCCGTGATGCTATGCTTGAGTCCAGCATACTATGCCCGAGCCCATCATTACAGCCACTGTATCAATCCATCTCATTGAGGGTCTTCCCCGTTTTTACTGACTTTCTACTTTACCAAGCAGGATATCCTTCTCAAGGGACTGGTCCCTTCTGATAGCATAACCAATGTACAAAAGACAAAGTCTGGCTATTCTTGCCTGGAAGGAGCATCTGGCTGCACTCCCTCCAAGACAGATTTTTTCTTTTTCTGGTAATGTATGGTATTTTCAATATTCTTTACCAGCACCACAATTCAAATGGATCAATTCTTCATCCTCCTTATTCATTGTCCACCTTTCATATGCATATGAGGCTATTGAAAACACCATGGCTTGTGTCAAGCACACCTGAATCTTCAAAGTGACATCTTTGCTCTTCAACAGTTTAAAGAGGTCTTTTGGAGCAGGTGTGCCCAGTACAAGGAGCTTTAGTGGCTTAAGGCATTTGACTGCTAACTAGAAGTTTGGTGGTTCAAACCCACCAGCTGCTCCGTGGAAGGAAGATAGGGCAATCTATTTCCACTTCTGTAAACATATACTGCCTTGAAACCCAATGGGGGTCGCTATGGGTGTCAATCGACTCGCATGGATTGCATACATCGCATGTATGGAAGTGAGCTTGGATTTTGGTTTTACATCTTTTGATTCCTTGACTGCTGTTTCCGTGGAACTGTGGATTCAAGTAAAATGAAATCCTTGATAATTTCAATCTTTTTTTCTCACTTATTCTGATGTTAGGAGCTTTGGTAGCATAGCGCTACCAAAAGTTAGCTTGACTGCTAACCAGAAGGCTGGTGGTTCAAACCCACCAGCCACTCCTCAGAAGGATGGTTGGGCAATCTACTTCTGTACTGATACCCCCTCGGAAATACAAGAAGGGGTCACCATGAGTTGGATATGACTCAACAGCACTGGGTTTGGTTTTTGGTTTTATTTTGATGTTGTTTACTGGTTCAGTTGTGACGATTTTTGTTTTCTTTATGTTGAGATGTAATGCATACTGAAGGTTGTAGTCTTTGATCTTTATCAGTAAGTGCTTCAAGTCATCTTCATTTTCAGCAAGCCAGGTTGTGTTATCTGCATATTACAGGTTGTTAATGAGTCTTTTTCCAATCCTGATGCCATGTTTTTCTTCACATAGTCTGGCTTCTTGGATTATTTGCTCAGCATACAGATTAAATATGAATGGTGAAAGGATACAGCCCTAATGCATACCTTCCCTGATTTTAAACCATGCAGCATACTCTTATTCTGTTTGAATGACTTCGTTTTGGTCTATGCATAATTAAATGTTCTGGGAATTTCTATTGTTCACAATTATTCATAATTTGTTATGATCCACTCAGTTAGTGCGTTTGCATAGTTAATAATACACAGATAAACATCTTTCTGGTATTGTTTGCTTTCAGCCAAGATCATCTGACAGCAGCAATGATAACTCTTGTGCCATGTCCTTCTCTCAATTTGGCTTGAATTTCTGGCAGTTCCCTGTTGATGTACTGCTGCAACCATACTACAATTCCCTTTCTGTAAGGAATTTCCTTCTCCATCTGTTCTAGCACTTGAAGCCTCAATTTCCTTCTGTCTCATCTTCTCCACGAAGTCACTCCCAGTAAGCCCTTCTGATGGAATTTCAACTGCATTTTAGACCTTTTTTTTTTTTTAATTGTGTTTAGTACTCAACTGCATTTCATCATTTATTTATTCATGCTTTCATTTAATCAAGGAGTTCCGGTGGCATAGTGCCCAAGACATTTGACTGAGAATGGAAAGGTTGGTGGTTCAAACCCACCAGCCACTCTGTGGAAGAATGACTGGGCAATCTACTTCCATAAAGATTTACCACTTCAGAAACCCAAAAGGGGTTGCCATGAGTTGGAATCAACATGATGGCAGTAAGGATTTGGGTTTTTTTTCACTTACCCATGATCTAAGTACTGAGTGACTACAATGTGTCTGGGCTGTACTCTAGATGCAAAGGTAAATGAGAGGAGGTGCCTGCTTTCTAGGGACTCACACATCCCCCTTTCCATTTATAATTCCCTAATGATTAAATGTACCAGTCTCCATTTATAATTCCTGAATGGTGACATGTTGCATGTACCAGTCAAGTCTCCCAAACAGACTCTTTCACATGCATCAATCATCAACCTGGCACAAAATTAAGTCAGTAGAGTCTAACTCAGTGTGTGTGTCTTAAGTCACTGACTTAAGCAAACTTTACATGCCAAAATATGACCTTGCAAATAAAATATGTAGTTTCAAAGGAATTTTGTGCTTTACAAGTAATATTAATTACAGAACAGATTTAACTGTGAAGTTACCTAATCTTTAATGCTTAATTTGATTTTCAAAGACTCCCTGTACAATTGCCCTGGAACACATCTCTAAGAGAGATGAGGTGTGTCTGTCAATCACTTAATACTTATTTGTTAAACACCACTAGGGCACATGTTTCCATGAGTTAGACAGCTAGTTGAAAAGACATTTATTCACTAAAGGATAATAACATTAGGTGAGTAAGTAATAACGATCATTGGAACGAGTCCTTGTTCCATTTTCTTGGCTCAAACAAACATCAGGTTGCAGAAGGACACTTAAATGTTCTTTAGTCCAATAGTTTTTTTTTTTTTTTTTTTTTTTGCAACAGAGACACATTCATTCATGTAAAGGCTTGATGTGTAAAATCATGGTATGCAAATAATTATAGCAACATGTTCTATCTCCCATCTAAAGGCAAAGACTGGGTGTGGAATTCTCTAACCTGGCCAAGTATTATTCTATGGGGTAGGAACACATAGCACTTAAGAAAAAGGGCAAAATCCTTGTCATCATAACAAGGCAGACAGACAATAATCAAAACACATATGTAAATTACAGTGTGTTGGATGGACAAATACCTCCAAGAAAATAAAACAGGATAACTAGTTCCAGGAAGTCAATTTTAAATAGTGTAGTCAGGCCAGATCTCACAGAAAAGGGGACATTTGAATTCAACAAGGTTTTGGAATCTAAACCACCACGTTCTGAGTAGAAAACATAGAATCTAAACCACCACGTTCTGAGTAGAAAACATAGAAAACAGTAAAATATATCCGGCTCAATAAAGGGAGGTGGGAAGTAAGAAGGCACTAGAACAGGGACTTGGGAAATGTGACATGTTGTCTACTCAATAAAGGGAGGTGGGAAGTAAGAAGGCACTAGAACAGGGACTTGGGAAATGTGACATGTTGTTCTACTGAGAATGTAATTGCAAATTTCAAGTGACTTCCTCAGTTTCAGAATCAGATTCTTTCTCATCATTTTTTTTAAAGCCATCTCATACATTGTTTCATTTGCTGATCTAGGAAGTTTTGTCTGTGGTTTCATTAAGAACCCTTCTCACTATAAAAATTAGCAAACCTTTTCCTTAAAGCATATTTCTTCCTAAATATGGAGGTGGCTGTGTGGGTATTTGCTGAAATCAACCTAATTCTGAATGATTTGCTGGCAGGCAAATGGAGTTGGTGGGAAACTCCAGTGAAGGGAAATTAATCACAATGCAGGAACAAGAAAAATTATAACTTCTCTGGAGGTAACATATGAAACCAAGTCA